TATTGTCATTGGAGGGGATCTATTTTTGCAAGGTGGTCTATTATTGCTGGGGAGGTGTATTGCTGCTAGTGGAGGATCTATTGTTTTTCTGGACCTCCCTACCTCTGTACTCACCATCCGCTCCCACTAGGAGAACCCCCTGCTACCTCTGTACTCACCACCTCTCCCACAGAACCCCCCTACCTCAAATTACAGAAAAAAAATTAATTATGAGCACATAATAATAATTATTATTTGTATTATTATTATTATTATTATTTCTGTTGTTGTTGTAATAATAATAATAATAAGTAGTGTACTCACATGTTTATTACAGATGATATGATATGTGAATACCCTTTTTAAATACGTATCCCCACCCTGACCCCTGGGCTTTTTTTCATCCCCTCCCACGGAACCCCCCACCGTCTGCCCGCATCCCACAAACACCCTGAACCTCCTACCTGCTGTACTCACCTACGCTCCCACAGGGGAACCTACCCTACCTCTGTACTCACCGTCCGTTCCCACAGAACCCCCTACCTCTGTACTCACCACTGCGCGCTGAAACAGAACCAGAACCCCCCTACCTCTGTACTCATCCGCTCCCACAGAACCCCCTACCTACCCTGTACTCACATATCCGCCCACAGAACCCCCCTACCTCTGTACTCACCATCCGCTCCTACAGAACCTCCCTACCTCTGTACTCACCGTCTGCTCCCACAGAAACCCCCCTACCTCTGTACTCACCGTCCGCTCCCACAGAACCTCCCTACCTCTGTACTCACCGTCTGCTCCCACAGAACCCCCCTACCTCTGTACTCAACCCACCCCCTACCTCTGTACTCACCGTCCGCTCCCACAGAACCTCCCCCCTGAGTTTACTCACCTCTATTATTTTCACTGTCCGCGCTCCCACAGAATCCCTCCCACAGAACCCCCCTACCTCTGTACTCTGCACTTACGTCACCTGCTCAAAAAATACCTCTGTACTCAGAACAGAACCTCCCTACCTACCTCTGTACTCACCGTCCGCTCCCACAGTACTCACCGTCCGCTCCCACAGAACCCCCCTACCTCTGTAACTCACCGTCCGCTAGTACTCACCGTCCGCTACAGAACCCCCTACCCTACCTCTCCCACAGAACCACTAACCCTGTACGTACCTCTGTCCCACTCACCATCCGCTCCTACAGAACCTCCCTCCCTTACCTGTGGTGCTGTACTACACTCATTACAATGCTCCTACAGAACCCCCTACCTCTGTACTCACCATCCGCTCCCACAGTACTCACCATCCGCTCCTCACCTCCCTACCTCTGTACTCACCATCCGCTCTACAGAACCCCCCTTACCTCTGTACTCACCATCCGCTCCCACAGAACCCCCCTACCTCTCTGTACTCACCATCCGCTCCAGAACAGAAACCCCCTACCCCTATACTCACCGCTCCCACAGAACCTCCCACCTCTGGTCACCATCCCACAGAACCTCCCTACCTCTGCACTCACTGTCTCGCTCCCACAGAACCTCCCTACCTCTGTACTCACCTGTACTACCTCTGTACTCACCCGTCCGCTCCTACAGAACCCCCCTACCTCTGTACCTCACCATCCGCTCCCACAGTACTCACCACCGCTCTCACAGAACCCCCACCTCTGTACTCACCTCCGCTCCCACAGAACCTACCCCTACCTCTCTACAGAACTCACCTCTGTGCTCACCATCGCTCCCACAGAACCCCCTACCTCTGTACTCACCATCCGCTCCCACAGAACCCCCCTACCTCTGTACTCACCATCCGCTCCTACAGAACCCCCTTACTCTGTGTACTCACCTCCGCTCCCACACAGAACCCCCCTACCTCTGTACTCACCATCCGCTCCCACAGAAACCCCCCTCCCTACCTCTGTACTCCCTGTGGGACAGGGAAGGAACAGATATCTGCGGGTGCAGTATGCAGTGTGTTTAGGGGCGGGGAATCTCCTCCTGCAGCCTAATGCATGAAAGCTGATGCCCCAGGGGTGATCACCGGCCAGTGGGGAAGAGGTGGAGCGGTGAGTCAGTGCACATGGTGCACTGTGTGGGAGATAGGACCCGAAACGGGAGTTACTATAGAGAGGGGCCAGCTGCTGAAAGCTGTGTTTTGCAAAGCTAGCTAACCATATGAGGGCAGTGGAGGGGGAGGGGGGGATGTGCAAAGGTGAGCTGCAGTCAGGTGTTGCAGAGGTAAATTGAGTCAGGTGAGTTGCAGACAGGGTGCATAGGTGAGCTGAGGCTGGGGGGGTGTAGAGGTGAGCTGAGTTGCAACCCACCTTTGCACCCCCCAGCCATAGCTCAGCTCTGCACCTCCCCGGCCACAGCTCAGCTCTGAACCCCCGGCGACACCTCAGCTCTGCACCCCCTGGCCACAGCCCAGCTCTGCACCCCCCAGCCACAGCTCACCTCTGCACCCCCTGGCCACAGCTCACCTCTGCACCCCCCTGGCCACAGCTCACCTCTGCACCCCCTGGCCACAGCTCACCTCTGCACTCCCTGGCCAGCTCACCTCTGCACCCCCCATCCACAGCCTCACCTCTGCACCCCCTGGCCACAGCCCAGCTCTGCACCCCCCAGCCATAGCTCAGCTCTGCACCCCCCCGGCCACAGCTCACCTCTGCACCCCCCCGGCCACAGCTCAGCTCTGCACCCCCCGGCCAAAGCTCAGCTCTGCACCCCCCGGCCACAGCTCACCTCTGCACCCCCCAGCCACAGCTCACCTCTGCACCCCCTGGCCACAGCTCACCTCTGCACCCACCCCCCAGCCACAGCTCACCTCTGCACCCCCAGCCACATCTCATTTCCCCCCCCCCCCGGCCACAGCTCAGCTCTGCACCCCCCTGGCAACAGCTCACCTCTGCATCCCACGTCTGCAACTCACCCCTGCACCCTGTCTGTGGCTCATATCTGCACCCTGTGTGAATCTCACCTGTCAAGTCACTCCTGCAACACCTGACTGCAGCTCACAACTGTCATCAGCCGGCCCTCTCCATAGTAACCCTCATCCACAACTACCTGCAGCTCACCTCTGCACCCCCTGTCCACACCTGGACATTTAAAAAATAAGACCTACCCCGAAAATAAGACCTAGTGTGTTTTTTTGAGCCAAAAAAAAATATAAGATAGTGTCTTATTTTGGGGGGAAACACGGTATTTGTGTTTAATTGCATTGATACTGTTAATAATGTTTTTCAATAAGCCTTTTAAAGTGATATTAAAGGCTCGCTTTTTAATTTTTAAAAATTAAAAACATGTTGTTATACAGGGGCGGACTGACAACTCATGGGGCCCCTGGGCAAAAGGGGATCATGGGGCCCCTGTGTCCTTGCCCAAACTCAAAAAAGCCTATGAAAAAGGTACCAGGGGCATCTCATGGGGACCCCTAGTTCCCGAGTTTCCAAATGGTCAGTCCGCCCCTGTTGTTATATTACCTGCTCTATGTAATGGTTTTGCACAGAGCAACCCCAATCCTTCTATTTTGGAGTGCCTCGCCAGCGCTCTGGGCTCCCGCCCCTGTCAAGTTCTCCCAGAGCAAGCTGCTTGCTCTGGGGGGCATTCATGCCTGCTCACTCCCAAGCCCTGCTCTGTGTTTCAATTAGATCCCAATCACTGGCTCTGATGACAGCACAGGAGCTCTGATTGATCAGCCAATGAGCAGTGGAGAGCAGAGAAGGACCTCGGCTTTCATGTACTCGCTGGATTGAGATTCAGGCTCAGGTAAGTATTTTCAGAAGGTTTTTTTTACAGTAAGGTAAAAAAAAAAAAACTTCTGCCTTTACAAACAGAGGGCCTCAGCCACAAGGTAAAAAAAAACAAAAAAAAAAACAGAAAAACGTGAAATGCCTAATGAAAATATTTTAATTGAGCACACAATGAGCCTTATTTTCAAGAAGGAAATGCGCTAAATCAAGGAGATATTGTTGTAAAGATAGTTTTCATGCTTTTGTTCAAGTCTCATAAGCCTGGTGATCGTCATGCACCTGTACAATTCAATCCCTATTCATACTATTATACATTGTGGTAATGTACTGTATATGCATTGATATGCATTGATGCAAAGTGTTTTCACACAATAGGACGTGCAGCGTTAGAGAACGTCGTGTATTTTGAGTATTTTAGCAAACCATCCTAAAGTGACATTGATACCTATGTCCTCCAAAAGTAATGCATACTCTTCCACTACTTAATGGCCCTGTAATCTGTTTTTCATACAATTGTTTCATACTCTGTTTTTCTGCCTCCTTGTAAGGTTCGCCATGAGCTCTCAAACCTCTCCTCCCCCCTCACTTCTCGTTCTTTGGAAGGATAGTTGCGGTGATGTGCACTTCTCTATGCACACTACACATCCCCTAGATCAGTGGTTCTCAACCTTTCTAATGCCGTGACCCTTTAATACAGTTCCTCATGTTGTGGTGACCCCCAACCATAAAATTATTTTCGTTGCTACTTCATAACTGTAATTTTGCAGTGGGAGGAGTAGTGCCACGTCATTGGTGTCAGTGGGGTGGGAGGAATAGTGTCCCATCATTGGTACCAGTTAGTAGGAATAGTGTCCCATCACTGGTATCAGTGGGAGGAATAGTGCCCCATCATTGGTGTCAGTGGGAGGAATAGTGCCACATTGTTGGTGTCAGTGGGAGGAATAGTGCCCCATCATTGGTATCAATAGGAGGAATAGTGCCCCATCATTGGTATCAATGGGAGGAATAGTGCCACATTGTTGGTGTCAGTGGGAAGAATAGTGCCCCATCATTGATACTAGTGTGGGGGGGAATTGTGCCCCATCATTGGTGTCAGTGGGGGGGATAGTGCCCCATCGTTGGTGTCAGTGGGGGGAGGAATAGTGCCCCATTGTTGGTGTCAGTGGGGGGAGGAATAGTTCCCCATCATTGGTGTCAGTGGGGGGGGGGGAGGAAATAGTGCCCCATCATTGGTGTCAGTGGGAGGAATAGTGCCCCACCAATGATGGGGCACTATTCCTCCCACTGACACCAATGATACTTACCTTGCTGACTCCTGCTCCAGCCTGGGCTTGCTCCCTCCCTCTCCCATCTACAGCCAGCATACCTGGCTGCAGCAGCACCATCTGCACGCTACAGACACTTACCTGTCAGCTGTCTTCCTTCTCTGGCCACTCCCTCACTCGATCTTCTTCTTTGATCTTCGCGCTGCTGCTCGGGTCCTCCTCTCCAAGCCCCACCTCTTCGCCGGTGATTGGCCACCTGTGTGCCTCTCCTGAGCTACAGTTCCGGTGACCAATCACTGGTGAGGAGGCGGAGCTGTTGAGTGATCCTGGGGATGTGGCCATATGACAGGGGCAGCATGTCATCCCGCGCACACATCGCGGTCCAGGGAAATGTGGACGTATCTGCATGTGGGCGGACCCGCCTGGAGACTGATAGAGGAGAGCGGTGTCTTGGTTCCTAAGACCATCGGAAATATGTGTTTTCCGATGGTCTTAGGAGACCCCTGTGAAAGGGTTGTTTGACCCCCAAAGGGGTCGCGACCCCCAGGTTGAGAACTGCTGCCCTAGATAGACCATAGCCCATGTGCGCTCCCACCACACTGACCAAACTGTCAAAGACAGCCTCCAGCCTCTAGTGATAATTGGGATCTGGGGGGACTGGCTCTTGATCATGTGACCACTGTGACAGGCAATCGCACTGGTTACATGATCGGGCAGTCCTTCCTGCCCCACCCCAGGCGTGAAGTTCCTGTTAAAGAGATGCCGGGGCTGGTCAGAAATGGGATAAACTTATACAGTTGTGTTGAAAATAATAGCAGTGTGTTGAAAAAAGTGAATAAAGCTGAAAATCCTTCTAATAGCTTTTATTTCCATCCACACAAATGCATTGGGAACACGACACATTCTATTCCAAATCAAAACATGAAGAAAAATATATCAAATTTGAAGAAAAGTGAATATTAGACGATTCAAAAAAATAGCAGTGTTTGTATTCTTCTTTACAAACTCAAACATTCACTATATAAACTGAAAAATGTTTGAAGATTTTGCTTTCCTTTGAATGACTTCATGAATATTTGGTTGTAGTCGCACTGTTTCTGAGAACTGCTGTACATCTGTGTTGCATGGAGTCACCCAACTTCTGGCCCCTGTGATCAGGTATTCCAGCCAGGATGATTGGACGACATTCCACAGTTCTTCTCTATTTCTTGGTTTTGCCTCAGAAACTGCATTTTTGATGTCACCCACAAGTTTTCTATTGGATTAAGATCCGGGGATTGGGCTGGCCACTCCATAACGTCAATCTTGTTGGTCTGGAACCAAGATGTTGTACGTTTACTGGTGTGTTTGGGGTCGTTGTCTTGTTGGAACACCCATTTCAAGGGCATTTCCTCTTCAGCATAAGGCAGCATGACCTCTTCAAGTATTCTGATGTATTCAAACTGATCCATGATCCCTGGTATGCAATAAATAGGCCCAACACCGTAGTATGAGAAACATCCCCATATCATGATGCTTGCACCACCATGCTTCACTGTCTTCACAGTGTACTGTGGCTTGAATTCAGTGTTTGGGGGTCGTCTGACAAACTGTCTCCGCCCACTAGACCCAAAAAGAACAATCTTACTTTCATCAGTCCAAAAAATGTTGCACCATTTCTCTTTAGGCCAGTCAGTGTGCTCTTTGGCAGATTGTAACCTCTTCAGCACGTCTTTTTTCCAACAGTGGGACTTTGCGGGGGCTTCTTGCAGATAGCTTGGCTTCACATAGGCGTCTTCTAATTGTAACAGTCCTCACAGGGAACGTCACACCTTCTTTCATCTTCCTGGAGCTGATTGTTGGCTGAGTCCTTGCCATTTTGGCAATTCTTCTATCCATTCTAATGGTAGTTTTCGCTTTCTTCCACGTCTTTCAGGTTTTGGTTGCCATTTTAAAGCATTTGCGATCATTTTAGCTGAGCAGCCGATCATTTTCTGCACTTCTTTATATGTTTTCCCCTCTCCAATCAACTTTTTAATCAAGGTACGCTGTTCTTCTGAACAATGTCTGGAACGACCCATTTTCCTCAGAATTTCAGAGAGAAATGCACTGTAACCAGCATGTACAACATTTGCTGCCTTCCTTCCTTAAATAAGGGCAATAATTACCACCTGTTTTTCAAAGAATGAATGACCTCACTAATAGAACTCCACACTGCTATTATTTTGAACATGCCCCTTTCAATGAGTGATTCAATGACACAGAATCAGCAGCATGCATGTCATGACTGTTGGGTCTGTTGGATTTCTATTACTCTACTACACCTGCTAGTAAATTATTTGCCATGTAGAAATATCATTTCTACCAAAAACAGTGATTGATCCGGTTAGTGATGTCTGACTGCTATTATTTTGAACACAACTGTACATTAATTTTTTTTCTGCCTGTTGTTGGATAATCTTCCTAGGAGAGAGAGCAAGAAGATACAATAGTTCTAAGTTATAAATATTCATGCCTTCCTGGTCAACCACTAGAGAGCTGTATTCCCAGTGGAGTGTGCTGTATGTAAGTATTTGGAGTGACTATTCAGAAAGATCTCTTGCCTAGTGAGCTCCTGCCAGGAGAGGATGCAGGAGATCTGTGCCTCCCAGTCCTGCTGTCTGGGGAAGGTCTTTACTAGAAGAGAGACCTGGATCTGAGGCATGGAGGTGTTTGTTCTGCCTTCCTGGAGGATATGGGGAAGAAGCGACTTGCTGAAGAGTGTATTCAAGAGCTGGGTGCAAGCTGTTGCCGGTTGACATTGCAAGGGAGTCCTGTCTACTATCTCTGGAAGGTCTCTGTTACAGCTCCAAAGAAGAAAGGGGAACCACTCACCAAGTCGAAAGCCTAGAAACCATGTATTTTTCCATCCACCTAACACATCTTTGCATCCAAGGTACAAACATCTAACGTTTCACTCAACAGGGAGCTTACTCATATGAGCTCCAGTTTCTACCTTGGATAAATAATGGCTGATGACAGGGAACTGGCTCCTATTATCGTTTGGGACCTGGGAACTAAAGCCTGTAGTGAAATACCTGGTCTTTTGTCTACTATCTTTGGAACCCTGGTGCACAACCTGCAGTTCTCAAAACCCCTGCAGACACTAATCTGTGCTTCCCTATTGTCCTGTTATATCAGTGATTTCTAGCAGTCTCATCTAATATGTTTGTAGTATATGACTGTATCCTGAAGCATGTCCCCAGTCTCTGATCATCTCTTGTATCATGTCTTCAGTCTCTGACCATGTCTTGTATCATGTCTTCAGTCTCTGACCATGTCTTGTATCATGTCTTCAGTCTCTGACCATGTCTTGTATCATGTCTTCAGTCTCTGACCATGTCTTGTATCATGTCTTCGGTCTCTGACCATGTCTTGTATCATGTCTTCAGTCTCTGACCATGTCTTGTATCATGTCTTTGGTCTCTGACCATGTCTTGTATCATGTCTTCAGTCTCTGACCATGTCTTGTATCATGTCTTCAGTCTCTGACCATGTCTTGTATCATGTCTTCAGTCTCTGACCATGTCTTGTATCATATCTTCGGTCTCTGACCATGTCTTGTATCATGTCTTCAGTCTCTGACCATGTCTTGTATCATGTCTTCAATCTCTGACCATGTCTTGTATCATGTCTTCAGTCTCTGGCCATCTCCTGTATTATCACCATAGTCTCTGATGTTGTTTTCTCCATTGTCTCCCGGTGTGTGTCTGCTGTCTCTGCAAATGGATATTTACTGAGTTTTATGTGCCGCCCTTTGGTGATGTGAAGGGCCACACCTTAGGTCCCCCATCAAAAAACTTGACTGCCACTGCCCTAGAACAGGATTCTCCATACTTTCTAAACCAAGGGCCACTTTACTGTCCCTCGGGCTTCGGGGGGGGGGGAGTGGATTATGGCCAGTGGGAGTAGAAAATAACTTTGTGTGGGAGCAAACAATACCTCATCATTGGTGTCAGTGGGATGAATAGTGCCCCATTGTTGGTGACCGTGGGAGAAACAGTACCTCATCACTGGAGTCAGTGGGAGGAATAGAACCCCTTCATTGGTGTCAGTGGATGGGATAGTAAATGGAATAATGCCTCATTTTTGGTGACAGTGGCAGTATCCATGGCCAATTGTTGGTGTCATTGAGAGCAATAGTTCCTTATATAAGTGGGAAAAATAGTGCCCCAAGGGCCGGATAAAGACAAGCAAAGGGCCACAGTTTGGAGACCACTGCTCTACAACGTATTTGTGCATTCTGAAGCTGCTTAATAGTCTGAGTATAGGTTGCCAATCTTGGCTTAAAGTGTATTTCTACTTTTGCAGCCTATTGGAATAACACCATATTTATATCTGCACTATGCTGGCAGATCTTCATTATCAGTTGTAAACTAGATTTGAACACTGTATTGAAGGTTTAGAAGCTTGCCTTCATTGTATGTTAAGGAAAAGAAACTTAGCTTGTCCTAAGCCTTTCTACTGGAACAGATGATGCTGAATGTGTTCAGAAGTGCTTGCAGTCAGCCATGACACCTTGACACCTCCTAAGACCATCTAAATGGCAAGAAATATTTATTTAGGTGTGCTGTGTGAATAGGAACACATAAAAGACATATAGTGGCATTTTCGAAAATTTGATTGTAAATGTGAAAACAAAATTTACAACCACTTATCGTCCCACCCACAAGACTTTTACTGCAGGTGGGCAGCATGTACAGGGGCTGAAACCAGGGGCGGACTGACCATTTGGAAACTCAGGCACTGCCTGCGGGCCCATGGTCAGTAGAGGGCCCCATGAGATGCCCCTGCAGGGGCGGACTGACAACTCATGGGGCCCCTGGGCAATAGGGGATCATGGGGCCCCTGTGTCCTTGCCCAAACTCAAAAAAGCCTATGAAAAAGGTACCAGGGGCATCTCATGGGGCCCCCTACTGACCCTGGGCCATCGGGCGGTGCCCGAGTTTCCAAATGGTCAGTCCGCCCCTGTGCCCCTGGTACCTTTTTCATAGGCTTTTTTGAGTTTGGGCAAGGACACAGGGGCCCCATGATCCCCTATTGCCCGGGGGGCCCCATGGGTTGTTAGTCCGTCCCTGACTGCAACATACCTGTAGGTTGTGTTTATCTGATTGCTATCATGTGATCTATATGACCAATTTTAGTGATCACATGATAACAATGTAAACAAACTGTCATCAATAGAGTTCATTCCAGGGGCGGACTGACAACTCATGGGACCCCCGGGCAATAGGGGATCATGGGGCCCCTGTGTCCTTGCCCAAACTCAAAAAAGCCTATGAAAAAGGTACCAGGGGCATCTCATGGGGCCCCCTACTGACCCCGGGC